TTTTTCCTTTTTCGAAATTCTATTTTATATTTCAGAAATTATTTTTCAAAAATCAGCTTTAATTAAATCCGAAAATTAAATTTAATTAAAAAATAAAAAATCAAAAAATATGTTCTTCGTGTTCTTCATTGTTCTTCGTGTTCTTCAGTCGTATTCATTTCCTATGGATGAATTTAACCTCTTCTTAATAATCTTTGAACCACAGGGTTACTTTCTCATCGATTATCATCAAAAATAGGGCCTGATCCAAACATCATATTCGATATTACAAGTTATTAGAATTCCGAGTTTTATCGGCAACGGTATTGGTGAAAAATACTTGAATAATTAGTTTTTACTGTATAAAATCCTTCCATTGATGTGAAATATCCGATTTGATGCAATCGAATTCAATAGTTTTTACGTTTTTCAAGAATCTGGGTTCGACATGAACTTCTAAGAAGAAACCAATAACATTTTTTTTTTAAACCTGTTTGATCCAAAAATACGCTTATGCTAATCTAACTTTTGTTTGTGTATACGTAACTAACACAAATAGATATTGGACATTACCTGTATGAAACATCTCTAAAATAAATGGGTTATGACCATACGTAACATTGGACATTACTAATGAATAGGATTGAATGTCATTTAAATGGTACGTATTTTACACTGAACCTAGCCAAATTATCTAAATGAATCTTACATAAATATTCGAATAACAGATTACGATCTCAATATGTTTTAACTAAAGAAATTTTAGTCAAATATTAGGAAATACCTATAATGTGTAGGGATCTCATCAATATCCTTTCCTAAAATATTATCTTTTGAATTTTGAAAAAATTATCTTTCAAATTTTAAGAATCTTTTTAAACATTATCATTAGGTTTTTTTTTGCTGAATCATTCTGGCACACTATTCAATCGAATTTGTTTCAGAACTTGCAAAATTAAAATTACCTTTGGAACTCAAATCATGGTTAAGAAAGCAGAAGTAAGTATTTTCTAAATTGATTTGAATTTTTTGAACAATTTTTCATTTATGAATGTGTTTAAAAGTTTTTATGTTTTGAATGTAGTAATTTAGAATATTAATTTCATCTATATAGGTTTTATGTTGTAATTTTTTGAACAAACTATACAATTTTGTTATAAATATGCAATCCTCTATTAATGAATCAAAATTGGATATAGGGTTTATGTTGTAAACAATTTAATTCATATATAATGGTAAAACCCCATCTTTAAATCACTCATGATCTATTCTTTTTCATTGTAGAAAAGTAGAGCAATGGAGAAAGATATTCACTCCAAATTGTCAAAAATTGAGTTAAAATTGGATAAACTCGTAGCCGAAGTTGCTACTATATCACAGAGTATATCAAAGGTTCCAGAATCAACTTATTGTAAGAGTGAAAAAGAAGGCGATACCGTCGGTAAAACTCCATATCGAAATCGTTCTTATTCTCCTTTCTTAAGCCCTGATGGTGAAATGATGGTTAGCTCGCGTGTCTCCACCACTAAACGGAAGCTAGATGTGAATGGCACCGGCGAATTAGTTGAGGTCGAAGAAAAACACTTTGCAGGATTCGATGTTGATTCCTTCGACATTAGAAATATCCTCTTCACTGAGCCACAATTTCCCCCAGGTCTGGAAACACTCAAGGACCTTATTGAGGATAAAGAAATAATGAAGGACAAAAAAAAACAGAGAAAGTGAAAAGCCCTGCCATTAAAGTGAAAACTCCAAAGTCAAAAGCAATAACAACGACTGATAACGTTGAATCAGAATCAAACTCAGAGAAGAGGCCGCTTAGGAGGCCAAGCAAAGACAATTGAGTCAAATTATAGATAGCACTGTTATTTTGGAAAAGGTAAATAATTGGTTATCTTGCAATATAATGTTCGTTATTACATATATAAACTTCAAATATTACTGTGTATAAACTTTTGCTCCCCATTTACTGTCACAGGTATCGTCATCATCATCAAAGCCAAAAAAGGAGAAGAAAAGTAATGCAAAAGCAAAAGGTGCAAAGGTAATTTCCATCAATATTAATTCGAATATTTGCTAAAAACCTTATTTATTAATACTTTGCAAAAGGTATTCACGTATAATTTTTTATGTTATTACACAATCAGTTGTTACTAATATCATAGCCCTTTTTAAACCATTTACTATAGCAACCTGTTCATTCAAAAGCAGTAACACGATCGGCCGAGAATGAAAACCAAACTATCTCTGAAATGGTAAGGAAATTACCAAAACCTTACTTATTTGATCAATGTTCTGGTGCGAGTTACAACGTTTAACAATAACATCTGTAGGCCAAATCATTAAAATCAAGGAGGCTTAAGAAATGCACATCAGAAGCAATCACTGAAGAGGTGATATGTTGTTAATTTGATATTGTTATTTGGCAAAGACATAAAAGCTAATGGATGATTACCTATAACCAATGTATATATAGTTATGTGTGTTCTGAAGTCCTTTGCATCCTCAGGGACAAAGAACTGTGATTGAAGTACATAGTGGTGATGATAATGGGGGTTTGTTTCAGTTACAGGAAGAGTGTTTGCAACAACCATTATATCTTAATTATGTATCACAGCTATCACCTTTGGAGAAACAAATATGTATACAGGTTGAGAAAGCGAAAGAATCTGATTAATTCTATTGTACAAAAGATAAAACATTTATCAGGTTGTCTGTGGGTGAATCTTGGTGTTTGTATCCAGATATGTGGTTAAGTAATCAGGTATACTAATGTTACAAATTCCTAATTAAGTTTGTTTTTGGGAACATGACATTTATTTATTTTCAATTGCAGCTCATAAATGTCTATCTGTATGATATGCTATTGGGGTTAAATGACAAAACTATGCTCATTTTTCCAGCATCATTTCAGGTAATGGCTAACCTTTATGTAGGATATTTCCAGTACATGGTGTTTATTTTGCATTGTTGATATGATTTCGGTTTATGTATGCTGCTTGTAGACTTTAGTACTGAAGTCAGATCCACGATGCGAACATTACATAACTCCATCCATTCTCAGTTACTGTTCCAAAATTTATGAAGCTTTTTTAAAGCTTGTGGATCTCAACAAGGTTGAACAGGTTAGAGATATTTGAGTTATTCAATCTAAGTTTTGTCCAACCTAAAATTTTAATGGCTTTGATGATCTGATTGTTCCAAATGTGTTTGGTCATCAGATATTCATACCCGTTTAGAGAATCTCTTGCGAATCATTGGTTCCTATTAGTATATCATGTCTCTATCACAAAGATATACATTGTTGATTCGCTAAAGATGACTGTGGAACGAAACCGTCTTGCTATGGATATGGTAACTATCTGACTTTGAATGTGGTAACTACCACTAACAGAAGATACCAGATACCTATTCTGAAATCGAACGTCTTTCTGAATTTGTGATTAGATTAACTTTGCTTCCATTACAATGCGGAGAAATCCCTTGGGTCGATTTTTCAAAAACTCAAAAAGTATTGTATTTGAAGTTATAGATAATCAGAAACAACCAAATGGGTATATCTAACATCTTTCCATTTACCCGAATGTTTTGATTATTCTAATCTTTAGCTAATTTAACTACTTTTTGGTATTCAGTCATGATTGTGGAATGTATGTCTTGAAATATATCGAGTGTGGTGATATCAGGGCCATGAAGGACATTACCTACACGGTATGGACGAAATTTTACTACTTGTTAAATATAACATTTACTATTATCGCAAATTTTATAACTCCCTTGCTATGTTTTTTTTTTTTTTTTTTTTTGTGTGTACTTGACCAGACTACTGACATGTGTGTTGAACGATTAAAGTACATGGCAAAGCTTCTTCTTAGCGGACACAATATTGAAAGTAACATCGAGAGGTTGATTGGTCATACTTTTGTCAGAATATGCAAGCTATAGCTGACACTGTTCAGTCTTAGATTAATTTATGCAAGTCTGTACTCGTATTCATATTGTAACTTCTACTTTGACAAGTTATTCAATAATTTTATTAGAGCACTGATAATCTATTAAAATTATATTTTATGCATGTAACAGGTATTGTCCTGTTTAAATATTTTGTAATACCCCGTATTTTTAATATATTTTATATTGTATTCACTTATTTATTTATTTATTTATTTATTTATATATATATATATCTTTTGAGTCAAATTATTTTAAGTACGGGATTTAATTAAAATGAGTTTTGAATTGATCAATACCTATTCTATAGTTACAACTTATGTCTACAACAAGTCCAAACATTCTTTCATTTATTGGGCCAATTATCTCCCCCTTGTATTATCTCATATAAGCCCAAATGTCAATAATTTACCCTACATTATAAATAGCTCTTGAATTCCCAAAATTTAACCACCTTAAAAGGTCAAATGGTCAAAGGCACTACTTTTCTTTCTTAATTTTTCCTTTTTCTTTTCCTTCCTTTCTTTTCTTTATTTTTCTTTTCCTTCCTTCCCGTAGCTTTCCATTAACATGGAGTTTTAATGGGTTATGAATGGAAGTACCTCACGGCTGCCACCGCCGGGAACAACCGGTCGGCCGTTCGGCCACCTGCCGGCGACCATGGTCAGCCACGACCTTCCCCCTTCCTCTATTCCTCCTTTTCCTTTTCCTTTTTCTTTTTTTCCCCTTTCATTCACGGCTGCTTCCACCCGCCGTAGTCGGCGCCGCCCAGCCACCCACCAGCTGTCGGCTGCTGGCCGTCCACCGCCCTTGCCACCGTCATCATCATCATCCCTTTCTCATCTCTCCTCTTTTGGTTTAATTTCATTAATTTGTATACTTATACATATTAGTATTGGTTTGGATTTTTATTATTGAAACTTGTTTAATTAGTATCAAATTCTATATTTTGATGATTATAATCTAAAATTTTAGATTATTGGTTTGATTTTATTACTCATATTTCATACTTTATATGGTTTGGATTTTAAAATGTTAAAGATGACTTTTTTAAGGGTTCTTTCACTAATTAATTTGGGGGTTTTGAATACCCATTTATTTCGATTATTAACCAAGTATAAAGATATGATTTTACTGAGTTTTTAAGGAGTTTTTAACAAAGTATTAATGCTGGAATTTTGTATAAAGTAGTATAATTGTGATTTTATAAAAAGAGTTTAATTACCCATTAAAGAGAAGTTTAATTAAGGGTTTTACTATAATTTTCAGATTATTTTAAGCAGTCTAAAGTGAATTTAAGTTGCTGGAAATTGTGTATACAAGGGTATTTAATGTAGTATTATTGTCCCTTTATGTAGGAGACTTGATTCGGGTTTTGTTGTAGAGTACTAGGCTATTTTAAGAGCTTAATTGAGGTACGTACGCGTACTTAGCATATTTTGGTGATGTAGAATCATGCTAGGTTTGTTTGTAATTGATTACAAGTAGAATCATGCTAAGGTGTATGTATGGAATTGTGAATTTATGGTGTTTGTGATTGAATTGTGAAGCATGAATTATTTGTGATGGTTTTAGATTGGAAGATTATATTTTGGGCATGTTGCGTTTGAACCACAATTTTATTTATGGCATGTTAGAAGGCATGATTAATTAAACTACATGTTTAATTATGTTTGGAATATTAAAAAGGAATTTTATTATGGTTCAAATAATTTTTATTGATGCTTAAATCATGAGGAAGGAGCTATATAAGTGTCTATGTACACAAGGAATAAATTGTATGTTGGTGCCTTTGTGCACTTAAGGTGTTTTTAACACCGAGGGATAGAATTTTGGCGCTTTATGCGTTTAAGGTGTCTTTGACACTGAGGTAGAATTAAAAAGGATTCAACAATAAATAATATGTGCCCACTAATTATTCAAGAATTTAAATTGGTATGTGTGTTGATTGAATAATTATTGTTGATTGACTTATTATGCTTTGAGAGTCATCACCAAGTTTAATAATATGTAAATAACGTAAAGTGAAAGAGATTACGCACCAAAACTCTTGGAACGTATATACCTTGAGTATGAACAATGGGGGGAGTTATGGGGTTTTATATTTAACCATAACTTCCAATAGAGTACAGGACGTTGTATATTCCCTTTTTATTATTTATTATTATGCGCAGGAATTCTGCCACCTTTGTGTGGTTTTGTCGCTGGCACGGTTAGCTCCCGTGCCAGTTAACCTCAAATTTATTTGGGGGAGGTTAATAGGTGGAAACCCGTTCGATGCGTAATCAATGCAAAATGAATTAATTAGAGTCTAGTCATTTTTTTTTGTTGATTGGTGTGTTTGTGAACAGGTGCAATGAGGTAAATAAGTGTGTGTTGATAGGTGAATGCATGTTAGTGTGGCTATCTTACGCTTATGTACTCAGCTTTGCTGATTGTGTGTATGTTTGTGTTTTTGGCCATGTCTTTATCTTGGCCCTATGATGACCCATTTTTAATGGAGAGTAGTGGAAACAAGTAGAGATAAACTTTTCAGGTATTGAAGCATGATCATGATGGGGCATGAGTGAAGAGTGAATCCTTTTAGTTTTCATTAGATTACAATGTGTTTTATGCTTTATTTATTTATGATATATTATGTGTGGACTAACATAAAAGTTTGATTTGGGAACGGTTTTTGAATAAGGGCCTCTAATGGTTCCAAGTTGTAGTTTGATTTTATTTGACTTGTTCGTTTGGTTTTAAACTTTATTTTCGTTTGGTTGACTTTGGGTTGACTTGTTTAATCGGTTTTTAATTTTGAGTCTTCCGCTGTGTATCTTTGATAATTGCCTTAGTCGTTTTCACGGTGGCGGTAATGTCTTAGTTATTCCTAAATCGTATTTTTAAAAGAGTAGAATGAGTATTTAAAGGAAAGGAATTTCTAGGGTGTTACAAAGTGGTATCTGGGAGCTTTGGTTAATATTTTTATTACCACTAAAGCCAAAAACGTGTTTTACAGTGTTTTATTTTAAAACTTGGCCAAGTGCTTATTTAATAAAGTAATTTTAAAAGCGGGTTATTTTATTTTATTTTGATTTTAAGAGGACCAAAATATATTTTTATTTTTTTTATGAGGTCCAAAATTTTTAGTCTGGACATCCGAAATTTTTATGGTATGCTCGAATTTTTTGTGATGGCCGAATATTTTGGCCCTTTTTCGAAGCTTATTTTCAAATTTTATTTTAAAAAGAGGAGTCAAAAATATTTTTAGTTTGTGCTTTTTGCAGGAAAGCAGGGATTGAGGTAAGACATATGTGTTAAAACCTTTTATTAGCATGTTGGTGAGCTTGGGTAGAAGAAGAAAGGGCATATAGGCTAGAATTTAATTTCTTCCCTATGTGCATATCTTTATATGAGGTGTTCAAGCATATTGTATGACTAAATGTTTATTGATGAAAGCATGCAATATGTGAAATATTATCTGTGAGCGATTAAAATTGTATGATTAAACACCGTACTTAATCTTCTGCAAGAACTGTATTATATTGTTATGGGAAGGGTTCTCTTTTGGTAGTCAAGCCCGTTTTCTTATAGGATCCCTAAACCCATACCTTGTGAGTTTCCATGATGAGAATTTTGAGGAATGTAAGGATTTTGAGAGCTCAATTGCTTATTTTAGGATTGTTTGCTTCAATTTTCTTATCAGAGAGGTATTTTGGAATATAACTTGGGATACACATCATCACATGGGTGTGAGTACTGTGTTTTGGGATAGCATGTTGTTAAGATATCTTGTCTAGTTATTAGAATGAGTATTTGAGTTTTGTGCACTTGTGTATCGAGACACAAAGGTATGAGAATTAAGAGATTAATACTATTGATTAAAGAGCTTGTAATTGGGAGAAAATGTGATTCTATACCCATTTGAGAAATATGTTTTGTCTTTGAACACGAGGTTGAGTATGAATCGAATTGAACAAGAGCCTAAGAAAGGTGAGCATAGGAATTGATTAGAGATGAGTGATGATGGAAGTTATTATATGAGCTGAGGGATACTCAATCCGAAGCAATTGGAGTTTGACATTGTAAGCTTAGTGCCTTATCATTTCATATGATTAAAGTTATTTAGTTTGGGATGGAGAATTGAGTATATATATATATATATATATATATATATATATATATATATATATATATATATATATATATATATATATATATTAATATATGATGGGAGTCTTGAGAAATCATGATTTTGTTGGAATATTGAGGACTTTTGTTTTGTCGAACCTTGAGAACATTGTCACAAGTTCAACCTTGAGAATATTGACGCATATCATCTAAAAGTTATGAGTATTTACTCATTAACCTTGGGATATGAAGATAATTATCTTACGTTAAGGAGTCATAGCAAAGCTATCATTTTAAAGAGAGTTCTTGAACTTATTCACCTACTCTTTTAGAGTTGTTCAACAACCTTATGATTTCTATTGTTTTTCAAGAGCTACTAATTTCTTTCTCTCCTTTTTGGGTAGCAGTCATGGGGATATTTATATTTTTGATTGCTTGTTCAATTATATGAACTATGGTTGTTTATCAATCATAATTTTATGCATTTGAATTATTGGAAATGAGGACAAAAATATGTTACCTCAAACCTTAATTCGAATTAAATAATAATTGTTCCTTGATTGAGTTTATTGGTTAATGTTTTGATTAGAACAAGAGAAAGCTAGGTGCTTTAACCCAACCTATATAGCATCCAGTCTTATCATCCAGAAAGTATGGTGATAAGAAACAATTCCAGTCATGGAAATGATTTGAACAAGGTAGTAAGGCAAACTTGATAGATTGCCAAGGATGATATAACCACCAATAATCCTGTAATGGATGAAGGTGTAACTAAGTAGTGTTAAAGAGTGAAAACCATCTAAACACCAAAGGAAGATCAATTCCCAAAGTTTTGAGGGTTGAGTTAAAGAGCTATGCAAGCTGTTTAAAGGCAAAATGTGTCTTGAGAATTTGAGAGGGAATGAAAGTTTGTATGATAAGTAATGGAAGGAGTTGATTTTACCATGTCAATGGGAACGAACAAGTTGTGAATACACCCAATCTTATTTGAGGGACATTTGAAATAGCAAACTCGAAATAAGTTTTACCGAACTCGAAAAGATTGCTTGCTTTGGAGTAGCACTCCAAGTTGTTAAGATCTTGAAGTTTTCAAGGGAGTAGTATTGCTTAGAAGCCCATGGAACGAGTTAAAGGATGGTGATCTTTATATGAGTTCCAATGATAATTTTCAACATATAATGTTTTTAGGAGTTTGACTGAATTATATAAAGAGTGAACAATTCATATATTCGCTGAAAAAAAAAGGGAGACTAAGGATGAGGATAAGGGATCAAAACCAGAAAGAAGGTGGGTGAAAGATCAACAAGATGGCTAAAGGAGTTTTAAAAAGATATTTTAGGAATAAGAAGAACCAGGAAGGTGGCTTATGTAATTCTTGGAGGTTAAGAAAGTTAAAACCATGAAGAAATAATATACTTAAAGGTATTGAAATTATTAAACTATAAATATGAAAATGTCATAAAGGAGAAGAGTTTATGACAAGATTTATGAATTTGATTGGAATGTGTTGATATGATTTAAGTAAGGATTGGTTATAAAGTAATTGAAGTTGAGATTATTTATGAGTAATGAGATTTATTCAAGGGATGCTAGAAGAAAAATTACGGGTTGATTAGATGAAATTTGTAAGCAAGAGTAATGTAAGCAAAGAAATATAAGAGTTGAGGAAACTTTGGAAATAATATAAGGACGTCTTTGTGTGTGAAGAAAGGATAAATGTTGCATTGTTTAAAGGAGTTAAAGAATACTGTGGTAAGTCATTGAAAGAATGTTACATCGCCTTGGGGAGCGCATGAATTTGTTAAGTGAAGGGATGAAAAATTGTATTTGTAAAGTGGTTTAGGAAGATTGATCAAGGTAACAATGAAGGATAATTTATCTTTTGATTAAAAGAGACAATTTGTTTGATCAAATGAAAGGAATAAATATAATATTGAGGTTATACTTGAGGATAAGAACTATATTAAGTAAGAACCTTCGAAAGAGGACATTTCGAATATTGGCATTTATGACAAAATTTGGTCGGTTTGAGTTTCATTTATTTTTCCTTTTGGATTAACGGAGCACCTATGTTTTATATGGACCTAAAGGAATAGAGTGTTTTATCGAAGATATTTTGGTAAATTCTAAGAATGGGAAGGAAAGGACAATGTGAACACTTGTGATAAAGTTATCAATACAGAGATAGAAGCAAATGCACACATGGTTTTTCCTAAGAGTGAGTTATGATTAAGAAAGGACCATCTTGGGAGACCTTGTGATAAAGTATAGAGGTAATTGCTGATGTAACAGGAATAGAAGCGGTGAATTATGCACAATAAATTAGTTGTCATTTGAGGTCTTTAAGTTGGATAATGGGGGTAAAAAAGGTCTATGAGGGATTTTCAAGGATAATAGACATGTGAATGTATTAATGGAGAGTAATAGAAAGTTTATGGGGAATATAAATGTGAAATAAATTTTGTATGGAAACATGATTATTTGAATGAAGTTTAAAGTTGAAATAGACTCTCACACACAAGGATTTAAATATGTAGCAAAGAAATGATTGAAGTTGATAAAGGAATATGGGTGAGGCATTCAATCTTACTGAAAGGGGAGGTAATGTGGTGGATTTATACAAAGTAAATAGGAAAGAAGGAAATTAACCCCCTCAAAAGTGTTGGAAAAGAAAGTAAAGAAAAATGTTAGGATAACTAGAGTTTGAGACCAACGATATTCGAGCAAATGCAGGAAAATCAAGAAGAGAATGTGAATTTGGGTCGAATTCGTAGGAGGATGTGCTATTTTATTGGTCATGGAAATAAGCTTAAATATACATTTAAGAGTAAGAAGTTGAAGTGAAATAAAATGGAAGGAAGGTGAAATACACCCAGGAATGGACAAGTTGTAAAAGGATTCGATAAAGGTGTATTGATGATTAAGAGTGATTGTTTCATTTGAATTGTGGTGGATAGATTGTCTAAGTCCACAATGAGTAAAACTGATGAAGGAGACTTGGAGAAAGGAGCAACTTGCAAAGGCTTACACCAAATTTGTTGTGAGATTACATGGAGTTCCTAAGGATATCATTTTAGATTGAGATTCCTAGTTTCTTTCAAGATCCTAGGAGGCATACAGGAGAACTTTGGTGATACACTGAGGACGATTACTACAACCACCAAATAATAATGGACAAACAAAAGGAATATTTGACGTTGGAAATCATTAGAGAGCATGAAGCATTGGAGAGAAAACAAATGAAAGATAACCATGCAAGCCTGCTTTGGCATGGCATTATTTCGAGGTTAGTATAGAAAGAACCATGAAAGTTCACTATGTCGGGGAACATTAGTGAGAAGATCATCTTAGAACTTCAAACGAGTAAAGTTATGGAGAAGCAAGAAAAGTATCCATGAACGGATTTAAGTGGTGCAAATTAAACAGGGGACAAAAGACAAGTGTTATTGAAAGTGTAACCCATGAAACAAAGTTAAAAGTATGGAAAGAATAAAGAGAATGAGCCAAGGAATATAGAAATATATGAAGTTGCATAGAATTGGTAAAGTGGCGAATAACTTGGCATATTATTGGACCTTGGTAAGGTATAAGACATTTTTCATGAGTCATTGTGAAAAAAAAAAAAAAAAAAAAAAAAAAAAAAACATTGACTAAAGGTATGAATTACAAAGGAAACTATTGAGGGTAACCAATTTAATCAAGAGAAAGCTTGACAAAATCAAGGTTTTAAATAGCAAAGTGCTTCATACTTTTATTAGAGGATTTGTAAAAGATAGTATAGATGGTATCAATTATTTTTTGTATAATGAGTACGGAATCGATGAGACTTTTGGTACTTGCAACAAGGAATGAATATAGAGAAGTATTATGATTTTACCAAGGATGGAACGAGAAAGAGAATAACATAACTCTAAAGTTGAATTAAGTGGAATTACGGGGGCGTAACTCGTTTTCTTTAAGGGGGGTAGAGTGCGATAGAATTGCGCGCTTTTCCCTTAATTTTGACATTTAAGTGTTTTTTTTCGGTCAGTTTTACACTGATTTTGTTATTTAGTTTGTTTGTATTACACACAAGGATGTGTAAGTTTATTACCAAAGTTGAATCTTACACTTATAGTAGTGTGAGTTTGTTAGATAGTCTAATAGTTTACACATTATTTTGTGTAAGTTTGTTAGTAAAGTTGTTACCTTACACACTAGTTTGTGTAAGCTGGCACTAGTTTGTGTGTGAATGAATAGATGAGGTAGAAAGTAAGTATCACAAAAGTACAGCAACTAAAAATATTAAGGAAATTTTCAGATTTTACAAGCACGTATTCGTTTTTCAAGCGAGCTTTTTCTTGTTTTCGTACTTAAGATTCGAGGACGAAACTTCTTTTAAGGGGGGTAGACTGTAATACCCCATATTTTTAATATATTTTATATTGTATTCACTTATTTATTTATGTATATATATATATATCTTTTGAGTCAAATTATTTTAAGTACGTGATTTAATTAAAATGAGTTTTGAATTGATCAATACCTATTCTATAGTTACAAGTTATGTCTACAACAAGTCCAAACATTCTTTCATTTATTGGGCCAATTATCTCCCCCTTGTATTATCTCATATAAGCCCAAATGTCAATAATTTACCCTACGTTATAAATAGCTCTTGAATCCCCAAAATTTAACCACCTAAAAAGGTCAAATGGTCAAAGGCACTACTTTTCTTTCTTAATTTTTCCTTTTTCTTTTCCTTCCTTTCTTTTCTTTATTTTTCTTTTCCTTCCTTCCCGTAGCTTTCCATTAACATGGAGTTTTAGTGGGTTATGAATGGAAGTACCTCACGGCTGCCACCGCCGGGAACAACCGGTCGGCCGTTCAGCCACCTGCCGGCGACCATGGTCAGCCACAACCTTCCCCCTTCCTCTATTCCTCCTTTTCCTTTTTCTTTTTTTCCCCTTTCATTCACGGCTGCTTCCACCCGCCGTAGTCGGCGCCGCCCAGCCACCCACCAGTTGTCGGCTGCTGGCCGTCCACCACCCTTGCCACCGTCATCATCATCATCCCTTTCTCATCTCTCCTCTTTTGGTTTAATTTCATTAATTTGTATAATTATACATATTAGTATTGGTTTGGATTTTTATTATTGAAACTTGTTTAATTAGTATCAAATTCTATATTTTGATGATTATAATCTAAAATTTTAGATTATTGGTTTAATTTTATTACTCATATTTCATACTTTATATGGTTTGGATTTTAAAATGTTAAAGATGACTTTTTTAGGGTTCTTTCACTAATTAATTTGGGGGTTTTGAATACCCATTTATTTCGATTATTAACCAAGTATAAAGATATGATTTTACTGAGTTTTTAAGGAGTTTTTAACAAAGTATTAATGCTGGAATTTTGTATAAAGTAGTATAATTGTGATTTTATAAAAAGAGTTTAATTACCCATTAAAGAGAAGTTTAATTAAGGGTTTTACTATAATTTTCAGATTATTTTAAGCAGTCTAAAGTGAATTTAAGTTGCTGGAAATTGTGTATACAAGGGTATTTAATGTAGTATTATTGTCCCTTTATGTAGGAGACTTGATTCGGGTTTTGTTGTAGAGTACTAGGCTATTTTAAGAGCTTAATTGAGGTACGTACGCGTACTTAGCATATTTTGGTGATGTAGAATCATGCTAGGTTTGTTTGTAATTGATTACAAGTAGAATCATGCTAAGGTGTATGTATGGAATTGTGAATTTATGGTGTTTGTGATTGAATTGTGAAGCATGAATTATTTGTGATGGTTTTAGATTGGAAGATTATATTTTGGGCATGTTGCGTTTGAACCACAATTTTATTTATGGCATGTTAGAAGGCATGATTAATTAAACTACATGTTTAATTATGATTGGAATATTAAAAAGGAATTTTATTATGGTTCAAATAATTTTTATTGATGCTTAAATCATGAGGAAGGAGCTATATAAGTGTCTATGTACACAAGGAATAAATTGTATGTTGGTGCCTTTGTGCACTTAAGGTGTTTTTAACACCGAGGGATAGAATTTTGGCGCTTTATGCGTTTAAGGTGTCTTTGACACTGAGGTAGAATTAAAAAGGATTCAACAATATATAATATGTTGTCACTAATTATTCAAGAATTTAAATTGGTATGTGTGTTGATTGAATAATTATTGTTGATTGGCTTATTATGCTTTGAGAGTCATCACCAAGTCTAATAATATGTAAATAACGTAAAGTGAAAGAGATTACGCACCAAAACTCTTGGAACGTATATACCTTGAGTATGAACAATGGGGGGAGTTATGGGGTTTTATATTTAACCATAACTTCCAATAGAGTACAGGACGTTGTATATTCCCTTTTTATTATTTATTATTATGCGCAGGAATTCCGCCACCTTTGTGTGGTTTTGTCGCTGGCACGGTTAGCTCCCGTGCTAGTTAACCTCAAATTTATTTGGGGGAGGTTAATAGGTGGAAACCCGTTCGATGCGTAATCAATGCAAAATGAATTAATTAGGGTCTAGTCATTTTTTTGTGTTGATTGGTGTGTTTGTGAACAGGTGCAATGAGGTAAATAAGTGTGTGTTGATAGGTGAAAGCATGTTAGTGTGGCTATCTTACGCTTATGTACTCAGCTTTGCTGATTGTGTGTATGTTTTTGTTTTTGGTCATGTCTTTATCTTGGCCCTATGATGACCCATTTTTAATGGAGAGTAGTGGAAACAAGTAGAGATAAACTTTTCAGGTATTGAAGCATGATCATGATGGGGCATGAGTGAAGAGTGAATCCAATCAGTTTTTATTAGATTACAATGTGTTTTATGCTTTATTTATTTATGATATATTATGTGTGGACTAACATAAAAGTTTGATTTGGGAACGGTTTTTGAATAAGGGCCTTTAATGGTTCCAAGTTGTAGTTTGATTTTATTTGACTTGTTCGTTTGGTTTTAAACTTTATTTTCGTTTGGTTGACTTTGGGTTGACTTGTTTAATCGGTTTTTAATTTTGAGTCTTCCGATGTGTATCTTTGATAATTGTCTTATCCGTCTTCACGGTGGCGGTAATGTCTTAGTTATTCCTAAATCGTATTTTTAAAAGAGTAGAATGAGTATTTAAAGGAAAGGAATTTCTAGGGTGTCACATATTTGACAATACATTTTTATTTTATATAATGAATAATGACTTTTTTAACTGTTCGTGCATTGGAAATTTTTTTTCTTTAATTATAAGCATTACATTAAATAAAATATACGATTAAATTATCAATTAAAAAAATACAAGTTTAAAGCGTCAGGAATAAATTTTTAATAGGTTATGTCCTGTTAAAGTGACAGGCAATACATAAGATAATTACTATTATAAAACTTAACTTTATAATTTAAAAACAATTTTAGATTCAACAGAATACCAATATAGTATTAAAGGTAGAGGAAAAAAAATTCAATGTTCGCTTATTGAATACGTCCAACTTTATATTTAAGAATAAAAATTCAAGTCCACAACAGAAGGTATACATTGTAATTAGGTAATATCCTGTTTCCATTATGCGCAATTCATAATAAAGTTTCTTCTTCTAAATTATAGTAACTTTCGTTAAATATAAAATTCAATGTTAGTTTGTTGGAATTGACCTACTTTTTATTTAAGGCATTGTGTTATTGAAAATACAGAATAAAATATCCTTTTCTTAAAAACAAAAACTACCTTTTATGCAAAAAGGTTATATAATTAATAGGTAATGTCCTGATCCAATTATAAGCAATACATAATACATTTTAGGTTATGAATATATGACTTTTTCTAAATTAAAAACAAATTTATATTTAATAAAAATATCTATACAGTGACAAACGTAAAGGAAAAAATTCTAAGTTTGTGTATTGGAATTATCCTACTTTAATTTTAGGCATTGCATTGTCAAAAATATACAATAGTATATCCTTTCTAAAAACAAAAATTACAAGTTCAAAGACAGATGTATAAATTGTAAATAGATGATGTCCAGTTGCAATTATAAGCACTTTTGGATATTGCATTTTCTATTATGAACATAAGATGTTTTGCAAAACGAAGTTTTTAAAACGAAGTTAGAGCATTTTACACCTTTAAGCATACATAAATAACATATAGAATTACTTAAAGTTATAAACCATACCTTGTCCATTTTATACTAAAGAAGACATTAAAAAAAATTGAAAAAAATAAAAAGAAAATAAAGTTGTCCACACAATACACAACAGCCAAAAGATAATATGTAATATCCTTACTGCCAAACTGATAAATCCAAACTTCACCATCTTCACTGATCAGCAACCTCAGCATCACCTTCCACCACACTTTTTTCCTCTTCATTGTTGCTTGTCTTCTCAAGGCCAGTAGGCTCATTTGCAACTTCAGGTGGAACTTCTTCTGGTTGCTTAACCATCGATGAAACTCCACCTTCCATAATGTCGTGCCCTTTCTCGGCTGCACTGCCATTGGCGCCACCATCTTCTCCACCAGCCACCAGCTCTTCCTCTTTCTCGAGTGCTTTGTCCTTCGCTTTTTCCTCAGCTTTGTCAACCTCGAGGCTCTCAATCTCCTTTTCAAACACATCTTCTTGTGCTTTGTCAGTTAATGGCTCTAACTCGATGGCAACATCCTTTTTCGGATCTTCAATTGATGATGTTACTCGGGAAATGATATATTCAACGCTTAGCAGTTTTGTTTCATCCCCTTCACCCCCCTTTTCCATCAGTACAACCGGAGGGAGATCCACTTGTACCTCCTTGTCATTATTCTTCCCAGTCTTTTTCTCCTTCACACTCTTTGATTTTTTTTTGTTTGTTCTTCCTCAACTCTAACCTCTACACTGTCTTCAAACAGTGTTCTCTTTCTCACCTTCCCTCTTGTTTCGAGGACTTTTTCTTGAACTTCCTTCACATTTTTCTTCTTCCTTCCTTTCGACACTGTCTTCTTTTTTTCAGCCTCCTCTTTAACCTCGTCTTCATCACTTTCTTCATCAACAATGGCCTTCTTCCCCTTGCCTCTTTTTTTTGTTTTGTCTTCTTCCTCACTCTCTTCATCGACTGCCTCATCTACGGCCTGCTTCCCCTTGCCTTTTTATTGGATTTTTTTTCTTCCTCACTCTCATCATCATCTGCAAATCCTTCCGCACCGGTATCATGCTCATCTTCATAGTCACTTGAACTTTCAACCTCTTCAATTTTTTCTTTCCCCCTACCTTTCTTTCTCAACTTCGATTCATCAACAGTTTCTTCGCTTCTTGTCGCGTTCAAATCTGCTAGATAATTCCCCAACAACCTCCACATTTCATTCGTGGCTGAACCCCATCTATGAATCTTATCCTGAATTAAGTGAAACCCCGTCTCGATCATCTCTTCAACCGGTGGTGGAGCCTTTCCAACAATTTGTGCTTTTTCCTTGTCAGTCACCCCCATTAACTGCATTGCACACAAAAATTAATGTACAAACAAACAGATTATAAACAAACATATTATAAACAAACATATTAGCACTTACTTTACTTGTCTGGTAGCCATCCTTCAAACCGCTGATTAAATCATGCAACTTCTTTAAGTTCGAATCACTCCAGTCCCTAATCCGAGGTAAATCATACTTCCAAATACTATACAGTCCATCTCTAGGGGAAAACTCACAAAATATTGCCTTTAACACAAATAACAATCACACTTTGATTAGGGGTTTAGACAAGACATTATTTTCAAATGCAGTACATAGGTAATCCCCAAACATATTATGTAAATACATGATATCATAGAGTACATGATAGAGTAGAATTTCAAAATAGGTAATCGACAACTTCATCAAGTGTCATTACCTAATTCGTTGAATACAGGACATTACATCTATATTCCCTTTGGTAATCATCAACTACAACATAAGTGTGTACACAACAAACATTTTATACAGTGCAGTACATGATAGAGTAGAATTTCAAAACAGGTAATCAACAACTTCATCAACTGTCATTACCTAATACATTGAATACAGGACATTACATCTATATTCCCTTTGGTAATCATCAACTACAACATAAGTGTGTACACAACAAACATTTTATACAGTGCAGTACATGATAGAGTAGAATTTCATACCAGGTAATCGACAACTTCATCAACTGTCATTACCTAATACATTGAATACAGGACATTACATCTATATTCACTTTGGTAATCATCAACTACAACGAACATAAGTGTGTACACAACAAACATTTTATACAGTGCAGTACATGATAGAGTAAAATTTCAAAACAGGTAATCGACAAATTCATCAAGTGTCATTACCTAATACGTTGAATACAGGACATTACATCTATATCCACTTTGGTAAACATGCATATGGGAGTTCCATGATAGACTAAGAATTACAAACAATGTGTTACTAGTAATCAAAACAATGTAGCATCTGTCATTACCTAAATCATAAAAAAGATTACCTTAAAACTATATTTAATTTGGAAACAACAGATACAACATCAGTGTGTACATATATAATTTTTCAAACAGGAATAGGTAATCCCTAAAGATATAATATGTCAATACATTTATACAGAGAAAGTGTAATTTACAGGAAAATATATTTTTGGTAATCACTAGACATATCATTTGTCAGCACCTAACATATAAAATACAGGACATTTAATCTAAATTGTATTGTAATCATTAACCTTATTAATTGGTATAACCTAAGTAGACATTAGATGTAAAACAGAACAAATTTAATTTTTTAGAGTTGTAAGAAGTATCTTACCATCAAGAACAAGGAACAGCCTCCCAAATGTTCAGGTTTGTCTTTGGATTTGAAATCTGTTATAGCTATAACCAAATTATCTAGCAGAAACTTTGCAAAATTCCAATGTCGTATACCATCAACATCAAAAACCAGATGAAGTCATCCCTTCTTTGCCTTTTTCTCCATGCTTGGGCATATAAGGGCATTCATGACAAAAATAACAAACATACGCTCAAAATTTGGATCGTCATGCGCAACTTTCCTTAGTTCCGATGACATGCCTTGCACTTTCAGTCCTATAAACCTCAAAAGTTGTTCATCAACTTCATTCTCATTAGCTAACTCCACATTGTCAATATCAAAGCCATGATCCTTAAATCCCAAGAGGTACTCAACATGGGTGTTTGTTATCTGTATTTTATCCCCATAAACCCCTAATGTCTTTGTAGACGGATCAAAGTGGTCTACAACCCACCTGCACATAGTCTTTCTTGTTGTCTTAGTGTTGTAGTGTAACAGAAACCCAAACCCCATAGCTTCTACTTTATCCTTTTTCTCTCTTGGAAAACCTCTAACTAATGACACAAATTCTTCAAGTTTACACAATGAGTTCCAAGGTCCCTACATAAAGATAATTTTAACACTTTTAACTTTTAAATTACTGAACATTATGGAAAAATAACAACATGAAACCAAAAGCATATGAATTTATACCGTCGCTATTAAGGAACCTCTTGTAGGGAATGCCCTCAATGTTTTTTCTGCTGGTGCAGATGCAGTAGTAGGTACTGACTTCTTTTTCCTTGTAGACATGTTTTCCTTTACCAAAGTTACAAAGACAAAAATCATTTTCAATTATCATACAAATAAACTATTCCACTTTTTCTAAACAAACAGAGTGAAGAAACACATTTCACTACCATATCACACTTACAAAAATCAATTTTTCTAAACAAACCAATTGCATGTAAATTAAAATTTCTACAAACGCACATACAACCCATATTACTTTTGAAGTACACATTTACACTTTATAGTTTTGAAGTAACATTATTTCAAAATTGAAGATACATTTTCCTCAAATAATTTGTAAATAAAAAACGAAGACAACAAAAGGCATATCCAATCCCAACTGAATCACTAACCCGAAATTTTGGTCATTATCTCAGATAAAAAAAAACATAAATAAAACAAATTTAAAAAAAATAAATAAAACTGAACAAAATAAATCCCAATTGAACCAAAAAACGAACAAATTGCAACACAATTAAATATGACGGAAATTAAATTTTATCTACACATAAACAAAATAAGTGCATGGTAAATAATTCTAACTTATATAGATTATATAAAAAAAATTTATAAACAAAATAAACAAAAAAAAGATACACATAACACAAATTTACTTAAACTTTATACAAAAATTAAAGTAAAATTAGTATATGGGACTTACAATGTGACTTAGTTACTCTTGCCGTTGTCGATGTCGTTGTCGTTGCCGTCACAATCGTTCTGCTTCACCGTGTTTAGCCCTCTAATTTGATGTGTATTTCTAGAGGGAAATTTAGAGAGAGAAAGACATTAATGGAGAGAGATAAATATGGAGTGAATAGTGATTAGGGGATTTTTATCCACCAATCACCGTCTGACAAGTGGACCAACCAGGTTCCGCCACGTGTCCTTCACGAAGGCCAATAGGATCCTGCCACGTGTCAATCACAGATACGTCCTCTACGGACCAATTGAGACACGCCACGTGTCCACCCATGCCAAATGGGAAAACCGGCCAACAAGGCCCAATCCTGTCTAGAGGCCCGGTCAGCCCTAGGTTTACCCTAAACCTAGAGAGTGGCACGCTTCTCAAGGCTATAAATACTCAATTAATCCTCATTAATTAGAGAGATCAAGAAATCAAGAGAAGAACAGAAACATTACGGAACACTAATAACCGGCTAATCTCGCTAACGACGCAGATTACCAACATTAAACACTCTCACCTAGAGAGATCTTACTACTTTAATTTCCGTATTAATTACTCCTTAATCAGGTTCTAACTTGACCGTTGGAGGCGGAGCTCTCAGGAGTCTCCGTTATTTTGCAGGTACAGGCGTTCGGTTCCAGTCTCGGAATTGTAACTCTCCCGCAGGACATCAGAAAACCCCGAAACAAATAGTAACCGACTTTTTTAGGAATATGAATAAAAGGCCATTTCACAAAAAAGTTAAATCTTTGAAATTGACGGTTGTAAATTTTGTTTGAATTTTTTTTTAATTATTTTTTTAATGTTTGGTAACTGCAAACACGAAAAATCCGGAACACTTTTTTGTATTTGGTTACTTCAAATTTTTATTTTTGTTTTCCTTTTTTTTCTGTAAATACCTTGTTGTTATTTTACTAATTTTTTGGAAAAATTCACAACATATAAAGAATCTTCAATATTTTTATACTCCGTATCAAATATTAAGTAAGTATTCAATTTCATATAATACCATTTTCTTTTCCTACATATTTTCATATAATACTTAATTTAAACTGAACATGCACTTTTCTATAAATTGGGAAAAAGAAAATTGGAAAACTTTCATTGAAAAAAAAGGTAATCCAAAATACAGATATCAGTCATTACTAAACAATAGAAAAAAAAGGTTGGCGTGATTGAGTAAATACTCCATGAAATACAGATCTTAAAGTAATAAGATATTTTTTCTTGAAACACTTAAGGTAATAAGATATAAATACTCCATATAATACTTTTTTTTAAAAAAAAATCTTTTCATATAGTACTTTTTTTAATAAACCTATACTTTTTAAACTTCAATAAAGATATATGTATAAACTTTTAGTGAAAAAATAGGTAATCATAAATAGATGTATCAGTCATTGCCAAACAATTTACAAAACACCGTTGAACAAGTACTGCTTTACGGAATAAATATGAAACAAAGATGATTCGGTAATAACATATAAATGTTAATGTTATTGCCAATTGGTATTCAATATGAATAAACACTCCACAAATAAGATTCTTCTATATTTGTATTTCAAAAATTAAGTGAGTATTTAATTTAAGATTATAATCTTCCTCGGAAAAAAAATTTAAATGTCAATGCCAAAAGTGCTATATAAGGTATTCAAACAGTATAACTATAAACGTGGCAAAAAATAATGCGATTCTTAAAGTACCAAATAAAATAAACTCAAATAAGCAATCACATATAACTGTAAAGGTCAATACCCTTTGTCACTGGATAAAAATAAAAACCTCATCAACCTGTTCAAAAACCTTTAAACAGTCTTATTTCAAAATAAAAACAAACTATGGCATCTAAAAATCCGTATTTGGGTCCCAATCAAATATGGTGGGAAACTTCTCAAATGCACTAACTTCATAACTATCGGTCGCGATTGCTGCATCACCAGTAGGGGTGTTCAAATCCGGGTACCCGGTTTCTCGGGTAGTTAAAAAGTCGGCCCATGTCCCGACCCGAATAACTCGGGTACCCGGTTATCGGGTACCCGTTTTTTCGGGTCGGGTCTTAGGGTACCCGAATTTAAAACCTAAAAAAACAAATCAAAAAACTTCACTGAGTTATTTTTTAATATTAACCTATTTCCCAAACATCGATTGAAGCTATACCAAGTCCAAATACATAGAGTAATTTTCCACAACATAAACAATTTAAATACAAAAGCAATTATAATTTCCATTGGTATAAAATACTTGAGCAATAGAAGTTTAAACAAAAGATGCTTGAAAGAATTTGACAAGTATAATATAAATGGTATACAAAGGAAAGATGATGACTTGGAGTTTGCAAATCAGCTTAGCAGCAACCTTGGGAGCTCGTCTAAATAATGATTGTAAATCGATGGATATGGCCTACTTGGATGAGTCTTTTTGCTTATCAAGAAGGTTACTTCATTTATTTTGTTTCAAAATTTGTCTCATAATCATAGAATAAGCATGAGACAAGGAGGAAAGAGAAAATTATGAGGATGAAGATGGATTTAAGATATCTCAAAACAAGAAAAAAGAAAATAAAAAGTGTCTGAAGTGAGAGTGGCTGCGGCAAGCATGAAGGAGTATTTAACTGAAGAGCTAAAATTGAAACCCTTACATTTAGGGCCTAAACTATGGAATAGTTGTACAGAAGCCCATAATATTTCAGAATTTTTTTTAAAGTTTCAGGTACTAGCGGGTAGTCGGGTACCCGTTTGAGTTAACAAGCGGCCCATGTCCCGACCCGTGACCCGAGATTTTTAGCAGGTCGGGTACCCGGCCCAGAAAATTGGATAAAAAACTCTAATTACCCGCCGGGTATTTTGCGGGTCGTCGGGTCATCGGGATGGGACAAGCGGGTCGGGTTTTTTTTAACACCCCTAATCACCAGTATTGTATGTCCTTGGCAGGAAGTTTTTCAATAGCTCTACGAAACCACCACTTTTGACAGGTGACGGGTTTGTTTCAGATGTTGCTGCAACATTACGAACCACGTGAGTGATATCATGAACATCATGACCAATAAAAGGAACCCCCTGGTCGATATTTTCATTCCCAGTAGTTTTGACTTCACTTTTTTTGGGTCTACCCCTACTTTTTCCTTTCTTAACCTTTTGATCTTTTATGATGTCCTTATCCTTGGGATTTATTTTCTCATTTTCTATTTCCAAGAGCATTTTTGCTAACTTGTCTCTCACCCAAGTTGATCGATCATACGATGAAGAAACCATTCTACAAAGCTGTGCACTTAATCCCGTTAGGAATGCATACCGTCCATTTGCTGATGCATGGTCATTTCTCTTCTGAAAATCATGATCCTTGAATGTGTTCTTCACATGAACCTTGTCTCTGATTGTCCACCTACGAAGAATACAGCCAGATGGTATCTCAACCATTCCAGTGAACTTCATTACAGCAAACATATGTCGACATGGTAACCCAATGGAGTTGTACTTCATACAACAACAAACCATTTGTTGTAGTTTCTTGTTGTAACAGACAACGTAATTGCAATCTTTGTTCACACAGTCGTTTAACCAAAAAGTGGTTGAAGCCCCATCACGATGTCCTTTTTCTTCCTTAGTCTTGGTCATAATGTGTCCTGATTCAAAATTTAGTTCCTTCAAAAACAATTTGTACATGTTCCATGTGTAGGTTCGTGCTGCTTGTGTCTTTATCTCAGGTAACACCCCAGTAATTACAGGAAATGTATGTGTAGAGATGTAATCATCTTTATCTTCTTCAAATCGTATATGCTCAAGGACTTGGTCATACAACTCCACAAAACGGTACAACATTATTTTTGAAGTTATGACCGTTTTCAATGTACTATTCATGGACTCACATCTTTGAGTACTTCTCATGCCTGGGAACAAATGTTATTAACCAATATTGTAATCAACAAAATCACATATATGTAGATATAAAGATTTAAGAATACACTTGGGTTTACTAACGATTTCATACGCAAATATTAATTTGACAATCTTTATGTAATGAGAAATTATCGTACTGTAGATTACATTCAATACAACAATTAATATTTATTGACGTATTAGTAAATATACATATAACTAAAGTGTTATTTTGGTGAAATATGTAATGATCAAACACTATTTAAACATAATAAGCAATATTAAATTATAATATGTAATGATCGTAAAATATATGTGTTATTACATAAAGTTCTTAATATACTTACCTGCATAAAATTGTCCCACCATAAAAGCCTCCGCCCATTTTTCCTTGTCCTTGTATAGATCTTGTGCCCACTTTTTATCTCTCAATGCTACGTATGCTTTCATTAAGTCTTCCCAAGCCTCTTCAAACTCAGCTTGTGTACGAGCACCGTCTACACATTTCATAAAACCACTGCAAAACCGTTTGTTTGTGTGGCCCTTGATGTTGCGCATAAGATGGCACAGACATAACCTATGATGTGCACGTGGGAAAACCTCCGTAATAGCTGCAGCCATGGCCTTGTCCCCATCTGTGATAAAAGTATATGGAGCAACATTGCCACCGGCCTCTTTCAATTGTTCTAGCACCCATATGTATGTGTCTGTTGTTTCGTTTGCAATCAACGCAACACCTAAGGGTACGGTCTTCCTATGATGATTTACTCCAACGACAACAACGAATGGTTTCTGGTATGCATTGACTTTGTAAGTAGTGTCAAACCCTAT